AGTATTTGCAGTTCCAGTGTGTTCCGGATGCAGGAAACAAAAGTAGAACAGGCTGTATTTTTCCTGCACAGAATTGTACTGGAATGCGCTAAAATGCATAAAAAATGCACCGGAACGCACCAAAATGCACCAAAAAACGCACATGTCCCTATTTAAATTGAAGAAAAAAAGGGGGGAAAAATGAACCAGAAAGCATCAAAAACGTCTAAAAAAACATGTAAAAAATGCACATGTGGGAAACCCATCCAGAATGCATCTGGTTTCTATAGTGTGAACAGGACCTTACCGCGTTCCAGTGCAGGTCTGTGCAGGAAAAATGCAGCCTATTCTACTTTTTTTTTTCTGCACCGGAACACACTGATGTGAACTATGACATTGACAACCATATAACCTATTTCCTGCGTGTTTTGGATGGCGAAAAAAAGCAACTGAAATGCATGTAGTGTGAGCTGGCCCTTGAGCTGAACTGGGGGATCAGCAAATATTTGTTTAAATCGGTGCCGGTTACATTTTCTTACTATAGGGGACCTCAAGTGTGGCCCCTGAAAAATACTAAAGGGCCACACATTGGGGGTTATTTACTAAAACTGGAGGGTGCAAAATCTGGTGCAGCTCTGCATAGAAACAAATCAGCTTCCAGGATTTATCAAAGATTAATTGAAGAAGCTGAAGTCTGAAGCTGACTGGTTACCATGGACAGCTGCACCGGATTCTGAGTGCTCCAGTTTTAGTAAATCCCCCCTTATGCCGGCCATACATGGGTCGTAATTCGACTGATTTTTCGACTGAAAAAGGGAGGAACCACGAAAATCAGCCGGTGCCATTGACCCACTAACAGAGTGAAAATCAGACTTAAGAATAATCGGACGATTTTCGCTCTCTTAGTGGGTCAATGGCACCGGCCGATTTTCTTGGTTCCTCCCTTTTTGGTGATCGGGCATGTTGGAAAATTCATAAAAAAACGACCGATTTTCGACTCAATGATTGTCAAATCGTACGATCGTCTTCCGAAAAGAATATGCGCATGAGCCGTGATCTGGAAGGAACAGAAGCTTCGCCTGTTATATGGGGGTGAACTTTATGACTCGGTCGGACGATTTTCTAAATCATTGATGGCACCATCGGATTACCGAGCGAATGACATTTTCGATTTTCAGATGAAAAATCGTTCGGAATTCGACCCATGTATGGCCTGCATTAGCCCAGGTTCACACCAAATGAAAATTGTGCTACTTCAGCTGATTTCACGTGTGGCCGTGTGCCGAAGTCAATGCAAGTCGCACATGAAATGGCCAAAAATAGTGCAGGAAACTTTTTTAAAAGTGGTGCAAGTCGGAGTCGCATTGTTTTGAACGGTTCCATAGGCACAAATAGGGGGCGACTTATCTTGCGATTTTGAACCGTCCAATCGTATGACAAATTGCACTGGTGTGAACGAGGGCATAATATCCATCACGAAGGTAGAGATACAAACAGGCCACCTCTACCTATCAGCATGGCTATGGGGCAAGATACTAGGAGGTGGGAGCAGGGGACAGGTAGGGGCACTAAGGCGGGCTTTCACACTGATGCGCTTTTGAAGTGTTTTTGCGGTAAAAAAAAGTGCCTGAAAAGCTAAAAAAAAAAATGCTTCCCTCTGTATGTGAAAGTATATCTATGTATGCTGTACGCTGGCAGTGTGGTGTGTAAGATACTTTCACACCGATCCGCCGCAAAAACACAGCAAAAACGCATAGACTTTTTACCACGTTTTTGTTGCGCTTTCTGAGCATTTTCAAAGGAGATGTGACTTAAAAGCTGCACCAAAAACGCTTCCCAGATGCGTTTTTGAGGCACTTTCCATTGATTTCAATGGGGAGAGGTGTTTTTGGGGCGTTTTTTTAAACTCACCAAACATGCCCCAAAGATGCTGTAAGCAGGAGTTGCATCCCAAGCGCAGTGCCTGTGTGAACACATACATATGTAGATATACATTCACATATACAGGGCTGCATTTTTCTTCAGCTTTTCAGGCACTTTTTTTAGCGCAAAAACACTTCAAAAACTCCTCAGTGTGAAAGTAAACTCCGGCGTGCAGCATCTTTGGGGCATGTTTGGTGAGTTAAAAAAATCGCCCCCAAAAACACCTCTACCCATTGAAATCAATGGAAAATGTCCCATATTCTTTATAAAACGCTCAGAGAGCACGCCAAACGTGAAGAAGAACGCCTACCCATGTTTGCTGCTTTCGTGGCCGATCAGTGTGAATGTCGCCTCTAATTCTGTGTGTCTGTTAGCCTGGATTCACATTCTGAGGTGCGGAACACCGCATGTGATTCGCACAGGAACTGCACTGCACTGCACTGCACCACACCGCACGGCACCTCACCACAACGCACCACACTGCAATGCACTGCGCCGCACCACACCGCACTGCACCACACCGCACCACACCGCACCGCACTGTACCACACCGCATCACACTGCACCATGCCGCACCACACCGCACACACACCGCACCACACTGCATCACACTGCACCATGCCGCACACACGCCGCACCACACCGCACCGCACTGTACCACACCGCACCGCACTGTACCACACTGCATCACACTGCACCATGCCGCACCACGCCGCACCACACACCGCACTGCACCGCACCACACCGCACCTGTACCACACCGCACTGTACCACACCGCATCACCACACTGCACCATGCCGCACCATGCCGCACCACGCCGCACCGCACCACACAGCACCGCACTGTACCACACTGCATCACGCTGCACCATGCCGCACCACGCCGCACCACACCGCACTGCACCACACCGCACTGCACCGCACCTCACCACACCCCACCACACCACAGTGCACCACATCGCACCGCACTGTACCACACTGCATCACACTGCACCATGCCGCACCACGCCGCACTGCACTGCAACCACACCGCACTGCACCTCACCACACCGCACCACCACCGCACTGCACCCAACCGCACCACACCGCACTGTACCACACCGCACTGCACCACACTGCACTGCACCGCACCTCACCACACTGCACTGCACCACACCGCATCACACCTGCACTGCACCGCACCTCACCACACTGCACCACACCACACTGCACTGCACCCAACCGCACCACACCGCACTGCATTGCACCACACCGCACCACCGCACCGCACTGCACCACACCTCACCACACCGCACTGCACCACACTGCACCTCACCGCACTCCCGTGCAAATCACATGTGAATTCTGTGTGGCGCGATTGGAGCCATACATTTTGTATGTCTCAGATCACACCGCACCAAAATGGTGCAGGACCCTTTTTTTTGTCCACACTACAATTAGATTGCATTGGTATTCACACCTATGTGATCCAATACTGCACATCGCACTGCGTTTTGCAAACCGTTTTAAGGGTTACATACACACCCGCAATGGTTCACATGAACGGGGTGTGATTGTGATGTGGTGCGGAATTCACACAGAGCCTCCCCATCACCACAGAGTGTCCCCATCACATCAGAGCCTCCCCTTCACATCAGAGCCTCCCCTTCACATCAGAGCCTCCTCATCACATCAGAGCCTCCTCATCACATCAGAGCCTCCCCTTCAGATCAGAGCCTCCCCATCACATCAGAGTCCTCTCATCACATCAGAGCCTCCCTTCAGATCAGAGCCTCCCCTTCACATCAGAGCCTCCTCATCACACATCAGAGCCTCCTCCTCACATCAGAGCCTCCCCTTCAGATCAGAGCCTCCTCATCACATCAGAGCCTCCCCTTCAGATCAGAGCCTCCTCATCACATCAGAGCCTCCCCTTCAGATCAGAGCCTCCTCATCACATCAGAGCCTCCCTTCAGATCAGAGCCTCCCCATCACATCAGAGTCCTCTCATCACATCAGAGCCTCCCTTCAGATCAGAGCCTCCCCTTCACATCAGAGCCTCCTCATCAAAACATCAGAGCCTCCTCCTCACATCAGAGCCTCCCCTTCAGATCAGAGCCTCCTCATCACATCAGAGCCTCCCCTTCAGATCAGAGCCTCCTCATCACATCAGAGCCTCCCCTTCAGATCAGAGCCTCCTCATCACATCAGAGCCTCCCCTTCAGATCAGAGCCTCCCATCACATCAGAGTCCTCTCATCACATCAGAGCCTCCCTTCAGATCAGAGCCTCCCCATCACATCAGAGCCTGCCCATCACCACAAAGTTCTCCAGTCATATCAGAGTCCCTCATCACATCAAAACTTCCCCACGCCCACAGAGTCCCCCCATCATATCAAAGGCCCCACATCACAGAGTCCCTTGTATCATCTATTTTCTATTTGCCTCTTAGATAAATGAAGTCCCTAGAGTGACAGTACAATATAACTTGGAAATAAAGTGTAACAGCTAATACATTTATTTTACAATGCAGCTTATCCCGTCACAAAGTCTTCTCTACCTTCCTTAGGGAAATGGGACACCATGGACAGCTCCGGACTATCCCGCCCCTCCCAATGTGCAGAGGGTTCAGCTGGTACAAACCATGACTCCTCTGGGAGGGGGGGACCCGGGTACAGGACATCCATCCCAGCTTCACACTTCAACCTTCTGTATGTACATCTGGATCTCAGGCTGTAGAGCCGTCACAAAGAAGAGATCACCTATTTATTTACAGTCAGTGCTGGACAATTATTTGTCTTCTATTGACTCTAAGAGCTCTAGAGGGAGCCAATCACAATGTAGCAAGACTGCACATTTTTTCATGCGTTTTTGCGCAGCAATAATAGGGCAGGCCATTTATTTGTATGTGTGACAAATGTGACAAAGAAGCTCCTGCACCTTTTTTTTTTAGGACAAAGGGCTTTGCACATTTTTTTACAGCATATTTGTCAAAGGTGTTGCTGCATGTAAAAAAAGTAGTGTCAAAGTGTTACTAAACCCCGAACCCTGCATTCACTATATCTGGTCTCCCCAGACCCTGCATTCACTATATCTGGTCTCCCGGACCCTGCATTCACTATATCTGGTCTCCCCGGACCCTGCATTCACTATATCCGGTCTCCCCGGACCCTGCATTCACTATATCCGGTCTCCCCGGACCCTGCATTCACTATATCTGGTCTCCCCGGACCCTGCATTCACTATATCTGGTCTCCCCGGACCCGCATTCACTATATATGGTATCCCCGGACCCTGCATTCACTATATCCGGTATCCCCGGACCCTGCATTCACTATATCCGGTCTCCCCGGACCCTGCATTCACTATATCCGGTCTCCCCGGACCCTGCATTCACTATATCCGGTCTCCCTGGACCCTGCATTCACTATATCTGGTCTCCCCGGACCCTGCATTCACTATATCCGGTCTCCCCGGACCCTGCATTCACTATATCCGGTCTCCCCCGGACCCTGCATTCACTATATCGGTCTCCCCGGACCCCGCATTCACTATATCTGGTCTCCCCGGACCCCGCATTCACTATATCTGGTCTCCCCGGACCCCGCATTCACTATATCTGGTCTCCCGGAACCCCGCATTCACTATATCTGGTCTCCCCGGACCCCGCATTCACTATATATGGTATCCCGGACCCTGCATTCACTATATCCGGTATCCCCGGACCCTGCATTCACTATATCCGGTCTCCCCGGACCCTGCATTCACTATATCCGGTATCCCCGGACCCTGCATTCACTATATCCGGTATCCCCGGACCCTGCATTCACTATATCCGGTCTCCCCGGACCCTGCATTCACTATATCCAGTCTCCCCGGACCCTGCATTCACTATGTCCGGTCTCCCCAGACCCTGCATTCACTATATCTGGTCTCCCACAGTACACACAACATGGAAGTGCTATTATGTTAGTAAATATAAACTGCTAAATACCTTTTCTCATCAGCAGTTAGAGCAGTCTTGTGACTTCTATCAGTGTTCAGCTGAGCACTGGCTAAAGTTTGTAGCAGTTTTCATTCTGCTCTAGGAGGATGCAGGACCCCTGACCTCTGTCTGGACAGTGCTGATTGGCCCTGTGCTGACCACATGCACTCTCCTCCCAAAATAAAATCTCTCTAGAAATATACACCAAACTGAGCATGTGCAGAGTGACTCCACACAATATGTCTTATCAGGAGATAAGAGGGGGACACTGGAAGAAGGGGAGGATCAGAGAAGACAGGATCAAACAGAATTTTTACACAATGCAGAGCATTAACCCCTTAGGTTTCATAGTGAGTATAACAAGCATGCTTTACTGCATATACTGTACAGACTGATTTTACGGTTGTGGGTTTGGTAACATTTTAAAGTGATATTAAAGGCTTGATGTGTTTTTAAATTTAAAACAACAAAAACATCGTACTTACCTGCTCTGAGCAATGATTTTGCACAGAGCAGCCCGTTCCCCCTCTTTTCAGGTCTCCTTCGGTGTTTCTAGCCCCTTCTACTTGCCGAATGCTGCCACAGCAAGCTGTTTGCTCAGGCGGCACTTCTGTTTTTGCTCGCTCCCGAGCCACCACTCTGTCTATGGGACACACAGAGCATGGCTCAGTCCCACCCTCCCTCCCTCTTCACTGGCTGTGACTGACAGCAGTGGGAGCCACACAAAACACCAGGTGCCATAAAAATGTGTACAGGGTGCTGGCGTAGTCATGCTGCTCCTGGTTCCTTGCTCCACGTTTGGTGGGAATGTCCCCCCATACATGCTTTTTGGGAGCTCGTGCTGCATGTTTATACTACAGGTACAGACTTGACCATTTCATATACAACAAAGAGTGTTCTGCTTTCTTCTACCTGGCTCCTTCAAACATATTAAACACGGACTCTTGCGCCATTGTTTGACCACTGCCAGACTGGTCATTCCTCATCATGGAGAACATCACGCGTTCCGACTCTTCTGGAGTGGGTGGAGGAGATGGATCATATCGAATGTATGGAGTCACTCCAGGAATTGGGAACTTATGAACAATGTCATCAGACCTGGGTCCCCTGCAATGTGTATAGGGAATCTTATGCTTTGTGAGATCTCTTGGCCAACTAATCGGGAGTCTGTCCTCTAGTCCCCATTCGTGAGACCTTTCAAAGGGTGAGACCTTTCTTCATTGGTGAGACCTTTCAAAGGGTGAGACCTTTCTCCATTGGTGAGACCTTTTCAAAGGGTGAGACCTTTCTCTATTGGTGAGACCTTTCAAAGGGTGAGACCTTTCTCCATTGGTGAGACCTTTCAAAGGGTGAGACCTTTCTCCATTGGTGAGACCTTTCAAAGGGTGAGACCTTTCTCCATTGGTGAGACCTTTCAAAGCGTGAGACCTTTCTCCATTGGTGAGACCTTTCAAAGAGTGAAACCTTTCTCCATTGGTGAGACCTTTCAAAGGGTGAGACCTTTCTCCATTGGTGAGACCTTTCAAAGCGTGAGACCTTTCTCCATTGGTGAGACCTTTCAAAGGGTGAGACCTTTCTACTGTAAGGGCGTCTCTCCCCAGGCATTGCCCCCTTCCCATTCTTTTTTTTCTTCTTCACCACTCTTTTCCCCTCTGTTTTATTCCTTTCCTTCTCCTCTCCTCTACTTCTCCCCCCCCCTTTTTATTTTACACTGGGGCCAGGCGGGGCAGTAAGATGGTCCTCATCAGCATGCCCCGTCCATCTTCTCTCAGGCCTAGTCTTCATTCACCCACCTTGTTTGGCTCCCAATGGTTTAGCTGATATGCCATGGACAGGACATGTTTATGATGCATGTATTCTCCATGGGCCTATTTACTTATGTATGGTCCTGGGCTTTGTATCTGTACTGGTCATTGTCATTGCCCAGTCCTGGGTCATTCTTTAATGCTTGTTTGATTTGTTTATTATTGCAATCCATTTTTATTTGTCCCCTCCCTTCCCCCCCAACTCAAGCTTGTAGGACTCGTTCACACCATGCGTGCATGAAAACTGATATGCAGATTTTACTTGCAGAGACATCAGTTTATTTATTTCATTTACTTATATATAGTGATGTCAATTTACACAGTGCATGACATATATATTGTACATTCACATCAGTCCCTGCCCTCAAGGGGTGTACAATCTAAGGTCCCTAACTCACATTAATACATACACATACTAGGGCCAATTTAGACAGGAGCCAATTAACCTACTAGCATGTCTTTGGAGTGTGGGAGGAAACCGGAGTACCTGGAGGAAACCCACACAGTCACAGTGAGAACATGCAAACTCCAGGCAGGTGGTGCCGTGGTTGGGATTCAAACCAGCGACCCTTATACTGCCAGGAAGAAGTGCTAACCACGTAGTCACTCTCCGCACTTCGATGAGTTTTATTCACTTTGCAGATTCCTGCGAAGAAAAAAATTGATACCAGTGTTGTGGTGTGAACAGGGCACATGGAGAACAATTGGATTTGTTGTGCCCTTGCTGAACGCGGCAGAAAAACTGACGTCTGCACCATGGTGTGAATGAACCCGTACTCCTTTACTGTACTTCAAATGTTGTCGTTGTCCTTACTGGACGTTTCCTTTTTTCTTTGTGTTTTCTGTAAAACCTTAATAAAACTCAGACTGACCACAAAAATGTGCAGAGGGTGTAACACATGACCCTCCTCTGCAGAGAAAGGACCTAAATTCTGAACCTCTGGGGTGCAAGACTCCTGACAAGGACAGAGTAGACTTAGTCCACCTGGCAAAGCCCAGGCAGATCCCATTCTTCAAGGGACCTGCAGAAGCAAGCAGAACCTGACCAAAAGGACTTATGCTCCCCTACCCCCCCAAGACTTTGAAGTCTGAGGACCAACACCCTACTAATCAGGTGAATAAAGTGACATGTGTTGTGCAAAGAAAATGTAAAATTTCAATTTCATTTTTAGAAAATGTAATATGGGGTTGACTATGAGAGGCACAGGTCCTCTTTGAAAAAGCCCACCATGTTGGCTGCAAAAGCCTCCAGGTTGATTGTACCCAAAGTGAGCTACAATAGATAAGTCTACGTGACAATAGGTGAGGTCTCTGCCGCGTCCCATGTAACATGCCATCTGGCACAGGTATCTCCGGCACAGTGTAGCAAAGTACAATTAGCTGGTGCTTGGAGGAATGATTGGTCTGTGCACATGTCAGGGAGTATTGGGTTTCATTCCCTCCACATTCTCCGGCATCCGGTTTTTCCCTCTCTTTCCACTTTCCCTCCACAATGAAATCCTCAGCAGACTTGGAAAGGATTTGAGGCTGTGTGTCATCATCTGTGTTTGCAACGTGCACTTTTACCCCCTTCCTGACCCGGGCAATTTTCAGCTTTCAGCGCTATCACACTTTGAATGACAATTGCGCGGTCATGCAACACTGTACCCAAATTAATTTTTTTACCATTTTTTTTGGGACAGAAAAAGCTTTATTTTGGTGGTATTTATTCACTGCTGGGATTTTGATTTTTTTTGCTATGTAAATGAACATTTTGAAAAAAAGTGTTTTTTTTTATATAATTTTGCAAATAAATAATATTTCATCATAAATCTTGGCCAAAATTTATTCCGTTATCTTTTTAGTAAAAAAAAAAAAATCCAAATTAGTTTATAACCAAAAATTATAATTTTTAAACATTTTTTTTTACATTTTTATTTTAGTTTTTTTATATTATTATTTTTTTTTTATTTTTTTTTTACATACTGTCACCCTAGCAGTACAGTGTCACCATGGTGATGAAGATTTTTTTTTTTTTTTAACACGGATTGTAAAAGTCCCAACATTTTGTAAAAAAGTGTTTTTTTAAATATAATTTTGCAAATAAATAATATTTCATCATAAATCTTGGCCAAAATTTATTCGGTTATCTTTTTAAAAAAAAAAAAAAAATCCAAATTAGTTTATAACCAAAAATTATAATTTTTAAACATTTTTTTTTACATTTTTATTTTAGTTTTTTATAATCATTATTTTTTTTTTTTTACATACTGTCACCCTAGCAGTACAGTGTCACCATGGTGATGAAGATTTTTTTTTTTTTTTTTTTACACTGATTGTAAAAGTTCCAGCATTTTGAAAAAAAAGTGTTTTTTAAAAGTGTTAGTTTAGAACCAAAAATTATAATTTTTAAACTTTTTTTTTTACATTTTTATTTTAGTTTTTTTTTATTATTATTATTATTATTTTTTTACATACTGTCACCCTAGCAGTACAGTGTCACCATTGTGATGAAGATTTTTTTTTTTTTTTTACACTGATTGCTTTTACACCCATATAGGATGTAAAAGCAATCATTTCTCTTTCTCTCTGTCTGCATTCTTGCAGTCATCGAGAAGTACTGAGTGAGCTGGAATTGGTCAAAGCTTGTCACATGGTACAAGGCTGTTGTGAATAGCCTTGTACCATGTGACCTCTGTGATCATTTACAGATTTCACACGTAGTAAGCAATGATGTCACAAGTGACATCTTGCTTACTACTTTGCATATGATCACTGATTGGCCAATCAGTGATCACATGATCGGGACCTCATACAGAGGTCCCGTCCGACGATCTGTATTTTACTGTGTCCAGAGGAC